AAAGTCACGATGTTGCCTCCACTTTGTGCAATTGTCCTGATGTGTCTGGAAGACCTCGGTAAATCCCCGTGATGCTCCAAATACAACAGAAGTTTTCAGGAGATGTCCTTATTCCTCTCAGGAAAATACTGACCTCCAGCTGCCTTCCAGACTGAACAATCCACCTCTGAGGTCTGACAACCGGAATCTGTCCGGTCCACTACCAATGACAAAAGTGGAAGTCAAATTAGATTCCAGCGTTTCCCAGTTTTGAGTTTACTATTGCTACATTATTTTGAGGATCAAGTCAGAAATTAAGTCATCAAGAGTCACAGCCTTTTCCTTCCCCTTTTTCCAGCTCAACCAGGCAACTTTCCAGAAAAGGATGTGGTTCAAGACTCTCCCACTTGGGGGAATAATGGTGGGTGTCAGAAATGGAAGCAGTCACAATGAATTGGGTCTCAAAAATTGATGCTTTCATTTCAGTCACAGTGAATTCTTATCCCAGTGGCTGCGAGCACCGTCATTCACATTTTGTGAGAAGAGGGAGGCTCCCAGAAGCTCCTGAGGAAGATTTACCCCTAAATCCTTACATCCTTGCAGAGGATGCATCCTGAAATCCAGCAATTCTTGATCCTGTAACTTCATGAAGGGCAGGGACCTTGCCTGTCTTCCATACTGTAGAGCAGTGGTGGGCACAAGAGAGCTCACACATGAAATCTCAGCCTGGGATCTCTCCAGAGCTCAGAGAGGTGATGGGGTTCTAGTTCTTCCTTAGAATGGAGGCCACAAAACAGATTCACAGCTACCACTAGGTCGCACTGATGGGGACCCAGGTGATGAAGATGGGGTCCCACGTCCAAGGCTGTTTCAGAATTTGAGGTAACTTTAGAACAAGCTTCCCTGGTGGCTCAGAGGGTAAAGCATCTGCCTGCAATGTGGGTGACCTGGGTTCAATCCCTGGGTTGGGAAGATCCCCTGGAGAAGGAAAAGGTAACCTATTCCAGTATTCTTGCCTGGGAAATCCCATGGACAGAGGAGTCTGGCAGGCTACTCCACTGGGTCTCAAAGAGCTGGATGTGACAGCATTTATTTGGGGGTAATTTTAGTATTTCAGATATGTTTCAAAAATAGTTCAGAGACCCATCCCCCATACATGCTTTCCTTAATGTTTCACATCACCATGGGACGTTTGTTAGAGCTGAAAACCACAGGTCTGTTAATGGTAACTCACTCCAGGCTTTATTCAAATTTCAGCAGTGTTTCCGCTGCTATCCTTTTCTCATCCGAGGATCCAATCCAGAGCACTACAGGCCACTTAGAAGAATGTTCACTTATACTGAGTTAGCCAAAAAATTGTTCAGGTTTTTCTGTAACATTTTATGAAAAACCTGAACTTTTTGGCCATTGCAATATAATACAGGACTGTAGTATATTTCCTAAATAAGCCAGAGAAAAAGAGAGGGAAAAGTCCCCTGTGACTTCTGGTCTCCTGCCCCCATGCCGTTAGGTTTGCTCTGTGCCTTCTAGACCTCTGCCATTCAGTATGGTACCCACTCGCCAATGAGGCAATTTCCATTTCAATGTTAATTCTACTTAATTCCTCAGTCACGCTGGCCACATTTCAAGTGCTCAAAGGTATGTGTTACTAGTGGCTATGGCACCTGGCAGCAGGGGTATACATAGATTTCTATTATTACCCAGTTCAGTTCAGTTGCTCAGTCGTGTCCGACTCTTTGCAACCCCAAGAACCGCAGCACGCCAGGCCTGCCTATCCACCACCAACTCCCAGAGTCCACCCAAACACATGTCCATTGAGTCAGAGATGCCACCCAACCATCTCATCCTCTGTCGTCCCCTTCTCCTCCTGCCCTCAATCTTTCCCAGCATCAGGGTCTTTTAGTTTTTCTGTAACATTTTATGAAAAACCTGAACTTTTTGGCCATTGCAATATAATACAGGACTGTAGTATATTTCCTAAATAAGCCAGAGAAAAATAGAGGGAAAAGTCCCCTGTGACTTCTGGTCTCCTGTCCCCATGCCGTTAGGTTTTCTCTGTACCTTCTAGACCTCTGCCATTCAGTATGGTACCCACTTGCCAACGAGGCAATTTCCATTTCAATGTTAATTCTACTTAATTCCTCAGTCACACTGGCTACATTTCAAGTGCTCAAAGGTATGTGTTACTAGTGGCTATGGCACCTGGCAGCAGGGGTATACATAGATTTCTGTTATTACCTAGTTCAGTTCAGTTGCTCAGTCATGTCCGACTCTTTGTGACCCCATGAACCGCAGCACGCCAGGCCTGCCTATCCACCACCAACTCCCAGAGTCCACCCAAACCCATGTCCATTGAGTCAGAGATGCCACCCAACCATCTCATCCTCTGTCATCCCCTTCTCCTCCTGCCCTCAATCTTTCCCAGCATCAGGGTCTTTTCAAACGAGTCATCTCTTTGCATGAGTTGGCCAAAGTATTGGAACTTCAGCTTCAACATCAGTCCTTCCAGTGAACACCCAGGTCTGATTTCCTTTAGGATGGACTGGTTAGATCTCCTTGCAGTCCAAGGGACTCAAGAGATTTCTCCATTATTACCTAAGGTTCTGTTAAACAGCATTATCCTAAATCTCTTGCTGTATATTTTCCTACAAATACTGATACATACTTAAATACATGCCTTGAGTTTGAGATAAATATTGTAGGTTACCTATCACCTCATATTTTTACCTAATGTGTTTTAACAATCAGTACATTTTTATTTTTTATCGAAGTATAGTTGATTTACAGTGTTGCATTTTATGTATACAGCAAAGTGATTCAGTTATTCATGCATGTGTGTGTGCTAAGTTGCTTTAGTCGTGTCTCACTCTTTGTGACCCCATGGACTGTAGCCTCCCAGGCTCCTCTGTCCATGGGATTCTCCAGGCCAGAATACTGGAGTGGGTTGCCATGCCCTTCTCCAGGAGATCTTCCCCACCCAGGGATTGAATCCATGTCTCTCGCATCTCCTGCATTGGCAGGCAGTTTCTTTACCACTAGCCCCACCTGGAAAGCCCTTGGTTATATATATATATATATAAGTTTTCAGCTTCTTTTCCAGTATAGGGGCTTCCCAGGTGGCTCAGTGGTAAAGAATCTGCCTGCCAATGCAAGGAGACACAGGTTCAATCCCTGGATCAGGAAGATCCCCTGGAGGAGAAAATGGCAACCTACTCCAGTATTCTTGCCTGAAAAATCCCATGGACAGAGGAGCCTGGTGGGCTACAGTCCATAGTGTAGCAAAGAATTGAACATGACTGAGCACATTACATTATTACTATTAACTGAAAACCAGAATTTAATTGGATTTCAGCAGTGTTCCCCCTCTTGTTCTTATCACTGCCCACCATGGACCAGGCTCAGGTCTGTAGGTATTTGCCCCATTTTACAAAGGGTCGATAGAGTATTGGGGAACTGTGTTCGCCAACCCAGGCCTGTCCAAAGCCAGGCTGTGACCTGACCTTGCTGAGCGATACTGGAGTTTGTAGTCTCAGCTGTTGATGCAATGATGTGCTTGCAATTCAGTGCTATAAGAATTAGGCAACGCTTCTTGGAAGCGGGAGATTAGAATTGGGCCTTAAGGACTGGGCAGGATTTGGAGGGGGTGGGGCATGAGAGTCATCATTGGTTTAGACTGGAGACCTCCTATGTTCCCTGCTCCAGGGAGCACAATTTTAGGCCCAGTAAGACTTAAAACTCAATAGTGAGAAACCCTGAGCCTGGAAGCTTCACACCTCCAGATCTTTGCGCTTCTGATCAAATTCAGCTGGTGATTCGTCCACGTGGCTCAGATATGGGGTCTGCAAACCCTCTGGAAGCACATTTGCTGCCACTGACTGCCCAGCACACGTGGGATGGCCCCCCCACCCTGATCCATATTCTGAGATGGCCAAAGGCCAAGAAGGGGCCCACCCATAAAACTTCCAACCCCGGGCATCCTCAATATGGCTTGTCATAGCGGAAGAATATTTTACTGTGGTTTCAGTCCTACCCCTCATTTGTCACAGAGGGCTTCTAACCACAGGTTTGGGCAAAAAATGGCCCACAAGACATGGGGTGTGGTTATATTAGTATCTCCTTGGATGCTCTTAAAGCATCCAGAGGCCTGGGCCCCACTCCAGACCCAATGAAATCTTGGTCTCCAGCAATGGGGCTCTGGCCTTTGGATTTCTACAATCTCCCAAATGACGGATCAAATCCTGTTTGAGCCATGATCCTGGATATATTTCCCAAGATTACAGGAATCTTTTCAAGGAGTGGTTTGGGAAGAGGCGCCTCCTTGGGTGTGCCATGTGGATTGGACCTCTGCTTGGCATTATTCTTGTACTGAACCACACCTCTCACCTCTCCTCCCATGAAGGGTTTCCTACTGCAGCAGAGCAAACATGTCACTTTACAAAAATAGTTTTGTTATTTGGCTGCCCTGAGTCTTAGTTGTGGCATATGGAATCTAGTTCTCTGACCGGGGATTGAACCCTGACCCCCTGCATTGGAGTCTGTCAACTACAAATTGGCCCTTGCCAAGAGCATTTGCCAGCGACTGAACAACAAGGACGTTCGACGTTTGCCTTTGTGGAGACTGAACCTGTGTTGCTGCCGCTGCTGGCCTTCAACACCCCCCGAGGGGAATTTAGGGTGGAGAGTGAGGTGCTCCGTGGTCCAGGGAACCTGCTGGAACAGGTCTTTAGATAGTCTCAGGAACTGACTTCACGATCCCAATCTTTGCATCTCTTCGATGTCTAGAAAAATCACTAAATCCCTTCATGGTGACATCAGCTCCTTGTGACCAGCAGAAAACCTTTTGTAAAGTAAGTGCCTGATTGCACTGAACTCCCCCTTCACTAAAGTCTTATATATGGACCTTCTCCCACTACCTTTTTGGCACAGTTCCCCAGAGCTATCTGAGGTGCTGGCTCCCAGGCTGCAGTCCTCATTTCGCCCCCAAATAAAACTTAAGTCAAAACTCTCACTTTGCGCATCTTTTTAAGGTCGACAAGTCCAGTACGCAGTCTCAGCCACTGGACCACTGGGGAAGTCCCAAACATGCAACTTTCTTCACTGTATTGATGGGAAACTGCATCCCACCTATGGAACAAACAATGAAGGTGAAATGATGGTGCTTTGCAGAGAGTGTATAAAAGATCCAACTTTGCAAAAGCTCCTCCACCCAAGTTAAGCTTGTTGTCAAGTGTGTGCCTGTCGAGTACACAGTATAACTAATGTACATACTCATTTCGCCTCATTCAGGGCACTTGGACCCTGAATAAAAACTTAAAGGGCCCTATTCATAGGGCTCAGTATGGAAATCACATTCTCCCAAAAAGTAACATATACATTTGGATACTAATACTGTGGGCAAGAACCTTTAAGTACGTGGGCTTTCTGCATTTTTAAATACCTGATCTTTAGTTTTTAGATTATATTTATTAAATCAAGTATGCAAACATCTCAATATTTCTCCCTTTTCCCAAACCAAAGCGATATAACCTTTAAAATGTCAGTTAGCAAAATATCCTACTCACCTAATTCTGCTACCCCGAAAAATTCACTGTTGATAGCTTGGTAGGTATCTTTGTCTCCAGGGCAAAAAACCACCCCCATTAAGAATTGTTATGGGCTCCCGAGGTGACACTAGTGGTAAAGAACCCACCTGCCAAAGCAGGAGACTTAAGAGACTCAGGTTTGATCCCTGGGTTGGGAAGATCCCCTGCAGGAGGGCATGGCAACTCACTCCAGTAATCTTGCCTGAAGAATCCCATGGACAGAGGAGCCTGGTGGGCTAAAGTCCATGGGGCCACAAAGAGTGGGACACGACTGAAGTGACAAAGCATACACACACAGAAGAACCACTATTCTGGGATTTCCCCGGTGGTCCAGTGGTTAAGAGTCTGTGCTCCCACTGCAGGGCGGCATGAGTTCAATCTCTGTTTTGCATGCTGTGTGGAGTGGCAAAAAAATATCTTAAAGAAAACCATTATTCTACATTCAGCAATGCCTAGAGATCCACCTGAAGGCTGCCACTGGGGTCAGTGGGTAGGGGTCAGGAATGCTGTGAAATATCCTACAATGTACATCCAGAACAGCCCCAAACAAAGACTTATCCAGCCTCCAGCCCCCAACACTTCTAGTGCTGGGATGGAGAAACCTCGTTCTAGATCTGTTCTGTGCAACTGGATGTGGGCACGTGCACTCTAACTCTTCCAAGTTCTGCTATTTTACACTTAATATTGAGGACATCTGTCTATTGTTCTGATGAATGCACATCCCATAGAGCATCTTAGAAAACTGGAAATAATCTCAGGCCCATTACCTACATCTTTGCACATTTATCCACTGAATCCCAGTGGTCTGAGCTGTTGCAGATGTGTTCTTTGGATTCAAGAGACAGGACCCTGGAAAACTGCTAACAGGAAAGCTGCTTCAGGTGGGTATAACTATCCACCGCCTGGTTGTGTGTCTGCCCGCGTGTGTACTCATAGAAACTTCCGAATCCTTTAGCCACCCAGGGCCTTGGAGGAAATCTTCTCTCCAGAAGGGAAACCTGTGTGGAGAGCTCATTGCTGGAGCTTGTTCCCCGGTCCTGAGCCTGGAAGCGCACATGAGTCATGGCTTTGAAATCCACTTCTGATGCCAGCTGAAGAGAGAGGCTTTGCATAATCAAGTTGACAGATGAAGCCGGGCCTGCCCTGCTAGGGACAGGCTCATCTATATCCTGGGTTAAAAGAAATATTGCGTTTTTAAAGAGGAAAGAAACATATTTAAGAGATAAAGGTGGGGGGGAAAGAGAAGAGTTTTCTGGTCATTAATTATAATAAAACACAGGGGGAAAAATTCACTTTAAAGGCAGGCTAAAGCCCCATAATCTTCAAAGAGATAGAGGAGGCTCAGCTGCCTGGAGAAGGGAGAAACCTCTCTGGGGCAGACAACATCATTTCTAACCAACTGCAAACAGCCAAAGCGAGGGCTGCAGTTGGTGGACCAACTTGGGCTGGAACAAGTTTTCTTCCTCCCGAACTCGGTCAGCTGTTGCCCATTGGGTGCCGCACTTCGGGATCCCACCATGTGTTGTGGAAAGGGGCTGATTTCCCATCAGCCCCAGGGTCGTCATGCCCCAAACATTCACCCCTGTTTTTTGGGGGTCTCAAACTCTTGCTCCCTGTCAGGATCTTGGTCTTCAGGGCAGAGTTCCCATTGAAGGCCATCATACCAGGCAAGAACACAGACGCACCGTTGCCAGGTTTGTATGTCTCCATCCGGTCGTTGCCATACAAGAATTCAGGCTCAGTGTTTCCAGGCTCTGCTCTCAAGAAGTCCAATTCCAGGTTTTTGCGTCCAGTTTCCCTGGTTTGCACAAGCCAAATGACATGCCTGCTGCTGATCGGAGCCCTGCTGTAACCAGTTAGCCAGTTGTTGAAGGTACTGGAAGCCTTACACCATCTTGAGGGCGGTGACTTCAGTTAATGTTAGGATATTAATGGCAGCGGCTTCCCAGGTGGCTCAGTGGCAAAGAATCTGCCTGCCAAAGCAGGAAACATGGGTTCAACCCCTGGGTGGGGAAGATTTCCTGGGGGAGGAAATGGCAATCCACTCTAGTGATTCTTGCCTTAAAAATCCAATGGGTGGAGGAGCCTGGAGGTCTACAGTCCACGGGGTCATGAGAGTTGGACATGACTGAGTGAGCATGCATGCATGCATTAATGGCAGAATATGGTTTTATTTATCCAGTGAATTTCTGGCTTGAATACCTAACCCAAGGCATCTGAAGAACCCAAGAGTTTTATACAGCTGGGGAGCGGACGGGATGGTCCTGGATGAGGGAAAGACTTGGATACTTTTTGGGAATTAGATCTTCACTGCAGTCTCAGTGTGCTGAGAAACATGTTTGCAGGCAGGGAGAATTAGGTTGTCCAGCAGGAACCAGTTCTGTAGAGGGGCTCATACCAAGAAAAGAGATTATTTGCAAGAGTTTCAATGTTTTAAAAAACCCAACTTTCCACTTATCCTTGTCTCCTCAGCTCCTGAAAGAAGAGATCTTAGACGACCCTGGATGGGTGGGAAGATTCCTGTCCCCAAACCCTCCTTCACACTCTGCCAAGAAGAGTTAGTTGCTCAGTCATGTCCAATTCTTTGTGACCCCATGGACTGTAGCCTGCCAAGCTACTCTGTCCATGGGATTCTCCAGGCAAGAATACTGGAGTGGGTTGCCGTTCTCTTCTCCAGAGGATCTTCCTGACCCAGGGGTTGAATCCCGGTCTCCTGCATTGCAGGTGGATTNAACATCTGCAGTGATTTTGGAGCCCAAAAAAATGAAGTCTGCCACTGTTTCCCCATCTATTTGCCATGAAGTGACGGGACCGGATGCTATGATCAGGACTCACTAGAGGACTTAAAACTCAGTGACTCGAGATGGGCTTTAAAATAGTGGTAGAGAAATCAGAATCCCTCCATAAAATAAAGGTGGGTATTGCTCCAAGATACTTGTTAGTTACATATGCACATGTGTATGGGAATGCTGGGGCTTGGAGCTGGCTTCCTACACATGTACGAGCCCATATTGCCCATCTTGTCTCAAGCCCACATTCAATGACTTCAAAATGATAATCTGACATTGGTCATGGTGGGAGTATTTACCACATGGAAGTTGGCAAACACACACATCAAAACTTCCCCCAGAGAGCTGGTTGTTTACATGTGACTAATGCACACTGCTTGGTGTTAAGGATGGGTGTTGAACTCTTCAATCAGGTAGTAACAAAGTCACATGTTGTCAGCTGTTTCCTGGGATTTGCATGCAGGTGGATTTTCATCCTGGGGAGAACCCTTAGCATTAGTACCTGTGGAAGCCAAGGAAGTAGGGTTGTGCTTCTCCTTGGAGAAACAGGACTGAAATGCAGCTGCAGAGGCCTCAGTGGACCCCCGTGGGGGAGACTTTGTTCAACTGTGAAAAGCCATCCCAGGTTCAAAGTGGAGAGGTGAGCTTTGTACTCTTCATAGACGAGCCGTTTAAGGCAGACTGCCTCTGAGATGGTAGCGGATGTTAGGAGAAGTTCTCTTTGGCCAGAAGCCAGTTCCCAGAGGACAATTGATCTGTGAGCTATTAGCAGCCCAAACTCAGGGCCCCCGGGGGAATGTTTCCATTTGGAAAGGGGAGATCTGGGTGGCACGCTAGGGCATCTACTACTTTAGCTGAAGTGACATGCTACCATGGTGCGGATGAACCTCAGGGTAGAGAATGACCATGAGGCCCAGCTGTCCCAGCCACGGTCAACCTACAACCAGTTGGTCCAGCACATGAGGGGCTTGTCAGGTGGTGCTATTAGTGAAGAATCCGCCTGCAATGCATGAGATGTAAGAGACGTAAGTTCAACCTCTGGGTAGGGAGGATCCCATGGAGGAAGGCATGGCAACCCACTCCAGTACTCTTGCCTGGAGAATCCCACGGACAGAGGAACCTGGAAAGCTATAGTCCATAGGGTCACAAAGAGTCAGACATGCCTGAAGCAACTGAGCACACACAAGTGACAATACATGAGAAAGCCCAGAGTTGCCCAGCTGATGAGAGATGCATGAGTGGGCCCAGCCAGTTCCAAAATACCCACCCAGCTGAGTCCCTAGACTCAGTAGAAATCATGGACGCTTATCTTCAACCACAGAGTTGAGCTCAATAGCCTGTATAGGAGACCTTTCAGAAAAAAAGAATGGACTTGATTCTGAAGGTAGTAGTGAGCCATAGAAGGTTGTTGAGCAAGAGTATCCCCCCAAATTGTCTTTTTGGAGTCAAACTGTTTCAATCAAGTTTTTTTTTTTTTTTTGGCTGCTAGAAACATTCATTCAAGCCAGCTCACAATTTTTAAAAGTAGGTGGGGTGGGGCAGAGAGGTTTTTTTTTTTGGTTTTTTTTTTGTTTTTTTTTTAAGGATATGGACCTCAAAATCTCAAAAGGCCAAGAAATGAAATGTCTGAACTTGGTAGAGGTCAGAAGACTGTCAGTGACAGAGGCTACTTCCCATCTCCCTGTGTCCACATGGCCTCCCCTCTTCGTCCCAGGTACTCTGCTGCATNGTTGCCCAGCTGATGAGAGATGCATGAGTGGGCCCAGCCAGTTCCAAAATACCCACCCAACTGAGTCCCTAGACTCAGTAGAAATCATGGACGCTTATCTTCAACCACAGAGTTGAGCTCAATAGCCTGTATAGGAGACCTTTCAGAAAAAAAGAATGGACTTGATTCTGAAGGTAGTAGTGAGCCATAGAAGGTTGTTGAGCAAGAGTATCCCCCCAAATTGTCTTTTTGGAGTCAAACTGTTTCAATCAAGTTTTTTTTTTTTTTTTGGCTGCTAGAAACATTCATTCAAGCCAGCTCACAATTTTTAAAAGTAGGTGGGGTGGGGCAGAGAGGTTTTTTTTTTTGGTTTTTTTTTTGTTTTTTTTTTAAGGATATGGACCTCAAAATCTCAAAAGGCCAAGAAATGAAATGTCTGAACTTGGTAGAGGTCAGAAGACTGTCAGTGACAGAGGCTACTTCCCACCTCCCTGTGTCCACGTGGCCTCCCCTCTTCGTCCCAGGTAGTCTGCTGCATTCTGTTCCTCTTTGAGAGAATAGAAACTGCCATCTTCAAATAGCTGAATACCTACTGTGTGCAAGGCCAGGACTGGTTTGCTGGTCATTACCTGTTTGCCTTTTCATCACTTCTCTCCCTTCCTTCTGCTCAGCTTTAGCATGTAAAGACAGCTGCAGACTTCCTGGGCTCCTTGGCAGCTGGCTTTGGTTTGGGTTCATCCAATGGGAGCAGAGGAGATGGGGAGACCCGGCTACTTTTCTCTGTTCCTCTCTCCCTCAGCTGTCATCTCATCCTTATTTCCAGGTCCTGATACCAGCTCTGCCCCTCCCCAGTCACCAGCCACTGATGGGGAAACCCAGTGCCCTTCCAGATTCAGCCCAATGGCTCCAAAGGAAGAGGTAAGCCCACCTCTCCTGCCCTCCATGCTCCCCAGCAGGGGCCCCCACTACTGCTAATGCCCGAGTTGTCTTGCTGGAGCAAACAGGGTTAGTAACACTGTGTGTGTGTGGGGGGGGGGCGGGGCTCAGTCGTGTCTGATACTGCAACCTCATAGACTGTAGTCTGCCAGGTTCCTCTGTCCATGGGATTTCCCAGGCAAGAATACTAAAGTGGGTTAGGGGCTTTGAAATGGATTTTCTATATTAAATTATCTGGCATCTTTCCCACTACCTGGGACCTTAGATGGGTCTACCCTATTAGTCCATACAAGTGTACCTGGCACACATCCAAGGCACCTCTCACAAAAATGCTCGCTTTGACCCATTCATTGCTGTACCTTTGAGCGCTGGGAACACAGCAGTGAACACAGTGAAATCTCGGTCCTTGTGGGACTCATGTTCCAAGCTCATATTCCCTATATTGGAGGAGACAGATCATCCAAACAAATGCAAATTTAGTTGGTGATAAGAGCCACGAAGAAAAATAAAGCAGGAAAATGGGTGGAGGTGAGGGGGTGGTCCATAGGATTATCAATTTAAAATATGCCTAGAAAAAGACTCATGAGTAAAGACTTGAAGCAAGCATCATAAACCGTGCTAATATCTGGGGCAAGTTCTGCTGTTGGAATTAGTCAATGATCCCCAAGCTCTCTCACATTCTCATCTTCTGCCTCCACTGACTGGACTCCAAAGGATTCAAAAGAGAACAGAACCAGCACAAGAAGAAAGTGAAAGAGATCTGGTCCAGAGAGGATGTGGAGACACAGATGTGGGGATTGATACCCAGTTGCCTAGTAGCAGGACCTAGTGTGTAGGTCTGTGTATGTGTGTATTTCACTTCATAACCACCCCCGTCACACACATACACACAGAACAGAGCCACAATGGAGATGCGTCTCCTGGGTCTAAAAAAAAAAAAGAGCTTTTCATTCAGCTGCAGAAATGTAGTTCAGCTGACAGTTTGGGAATCAGCCTCAACTTTCAAGGTGACATCACTCTCTTCCTGGGCAGCTCACTGCAATGACCCAGCAAGGTGGGGGACTGGCCCTTTCTGTCTACTAGAAGCATCCTGCAGTCTTCACTCAAGCTCCCTGTTGGGTTAACTAATACTTCATCAGCTCTGTTTTGAAGGCTGAGACTCTCCCTGCCAATTCTTCTTCCCCAGGCTTATCTGTGGTAATGATGGAAAATGGTTAACTGTTGGCTCTGACTTATGGTGCTTGCCAGATTTCTTTGGCGTAAATACTTCCACCCCAACTAGTTTCAGCCTATCTGTTGGGCATCGCTGAATGAAGAGTTGGGAAGTGATGTCAGCCACAGCATATCCCTGGGAATTGCCCTAAATAAGCCACTTTTCCCTTTCCACTTCATCTCTGCCTAGCTTTCTGAAAGACCAAACTAACAAGATTTGAGACCTCTAGCTTACAAGGTTCTCTTCCCATATTCCATCTGTTCACAGGGCACAAACTCTCAAATACACCCTGAATCTGCCCACTTCCTTCCCTGTTGACTGTCCTAGGGAGGATGTAGGAAGACCAGGTGGCTTCACCCATGATGATGCTGTTTTAAAATCTCATCTTGGGACTTCCCTGGTTTGAGAGGTTCCTGCTTCCCAGTGGTTGAGATGCCATGCTTCCATTGCAGGGGCTGAGGTTCAATCCTTGATCCAGGAACTAAGATCCCACATGCCACACAGCCTAAAAAAATAATAATTTCTTGAACTGAGTTTTAGAAAATGAAAATGCAACATACCACCTTTAAAAAAATTTAATAAACTTAAAAAAACTCTCACCTTAATGCTTCTACTAGTTTCCCACTGGCCTAAAAATAAAAGTTAAACTCCCTTCCCTAACCCACAAAGTTCCACACAATCCACCCCCTTTGTCTTCTCCAAAGGCATCCCCCAGCCACCCTCCGTCAGCAGTACTTGACTTTCCCACAGTATGAGGACAAACCCAGTCACCTCTTACCCTGTCCTGCTCTTTGTCCCCTTGACCTGGAGTGCTCCTCATGCCTTCTGTTGGCTTATCTGCCTTCCTCTTTTTCAGATCTCAGCCTAATCAGCTGCAGGAGGCCACCTCAGATATTTTCTTATTTGTCTGCAGATCTAGGGAGGCCAAGTAGGCTGGTGTGATGAAGTGAGGCTACATATTATTGGGTCAGGAAAACTGAAGCTATTTCTTGAAGATAGGAGATCACATCTATAGTCTTTAGGCCTACAATCTCAGTACCTCAAACAGTGCTGGAACAGCCGTTGCCTCAGTATTTGTGGGCTGAACAAATGAAGGCTGCTGAAATGGTCCAAGCCGGAGCTCGTGGACCTAGAATCTCACGCAAGGCCTTATCAACCCACGTTTCCAAATGTAGCACACGTTCCCTACATCCTCCGGGCCCACCCTGAAGTTCACCTGCAATGTCAACGGACAGCTCTTTTCCCATGGCCTTCCCACTTCTAAAACTCCTGCATCTCTGTCTGAGGGCTTTCTCTGGCCACAAAAGTTGTAAACAGTCCAGAAGTGTTGAGAAGTTAATACCCAGAGTGATCCTCTGAGCCGATAAAAGCCTGGGGTTAGTGGTTAAATGTCCCCAGCTTCCTTCTTAGAGAACAATCCTGAGGTTTGGTCTAAGCAGTTTCACAAGAGGTTCCCAATAGGATAAACCCCAGGTGCCCAGAGTGGTCATCTTATTAACAGCCCCTTCAGCTGTGATGAATAAAAGGTCATTCCTGGAAGCATAACGGAGTAGGGAAATATGACAGAGAAGGGAGGAAAACATGATTGCAAATTGTGAATTCCTGTCTCAGTCTGGGACTTCTCAAACAGACTGTTTGCTGGCAAATGGGCTAAGCTTGTCCAGGCATGAGCCTGGTGTAGGGAAACCAATTCAAAGCCTTTCTGATTCAAGTCTCCGATGACACTTGGTTCTAGAGCTGGTCATGGCAGTTGACTGTGTGGGCCAAGCATTTCCCATGCAGCCAAGCCAGGTGTGCTCAGGAGCTCTGGAAGGTAAGGACCACCTTGATCCACTTAGCCCTGGCATCTTGGGCTGGAGATTGTAGGAGCCGCCTCCATCCCACACGTGGAAGCCTTCAGAGGCAAGTCTGGTGCCCACAGATTTATAGGTTGCAATCTCCTGCCTTGATCCTGGGCCATTCACTTCCCCTGCCCTCCCTGTTCTGCATTCTCTATCTGCTCTGAAGTTATTGGAGCCTGGTGTGAATTTAGGGACAATAAAACCATCAAAGGCCTTGGTCCTGAGAACAATCAGTTGGGGAGTTTGCAATAAAGGAACATCCTGCCTGGGGAAGGTGTGAGACTTCAAGGCAAGCTGATGAGAGACCTCTGAAAGCGCCTTTTCTGGCGGAGTCTGGCACAGTCCACACCTGGGATGGCTTACGGTGCCATCTGGCCCAGAGACAGGCGGATGGACCTCGTCAGCTGCCTTGAAAGTCCCCGATTCTCCATGGTTCTGGGAGGAAGGTCACCCTGTCCTTCCGATGACATCCATTCCAGGTGTCAGCACACCTGGCAAGGCATCTGATTGAATTGTGTTTTCTAAAAAAGCTCCTCTATGCCAAGTTCCCTGCACATGACATCATCTTCCAGCTTACCACCTGGCCCTTGCTTCTCTCCAGTCTCTTCATTCACTCAGTCAAAGCCTTTGACTTCAGCCAAGTATGTATGTGCACTGGGGATGCTGAAAACACAAAGTGGATGCCCAAGGCAGTGCCCTTTGGAAGCTTCCTGTTCTTGGGGAGAATATGCATCACAGAAGACAGGTCAAGTTACCTCCCTATCAGGGAACAATGAGAGTTGGGAAGCCTAACTGGGTAAGGGATAGAGGGCAGCAGGGGTTTTAGAGAGCCATTAGCTTGAAGGTTGCCTCCTTAGAAAGGCTTCCTGAATGCAGACAGGAAGTGAGCCATACAGACATCTAGGGAAATGAATTCCCGGGGCAGAGGCTTGAAATAGGAACATGCTTTGTATGTCTAAGGTCATCAATGGAACTGGTGTGTCTGCTTTCTTCTCCCACTTGCCCCCCACTCTTCGCTTGTGATGTCTGTTCAGACTCTCCCTCCAAGATCTTTCAACTGGCCAAATCCTACTTCCAGGATCTTTAAGAACTCAGCTAAGATGCCACCTCCTCCAGGAAGCCCTCCCTGCCCCACCCCACCTCCAAATATCAGGGAGGTACCACCTGGATCCTGCTTTCATAGATCACATCAACTGCAGAGAGCTCCTTAACCCAAGGTCATGTTCTTGCATATGTAACTCACAACCAGTGACAAACCTGTGCAGGGGTATAAAGGCCAGACCATCCCAGGATACCTTGGAATGGTCATTCTAGAGCCAGGACCCCCATGGGATTGGCTAACCCTGTCATTGGTTCACAGTGGAGATCAGTTCTCCCTCCTTCCATAGGGGTTGATCCCAAGGTAACCCTCTAAACCAATGGTCCCCAGCCTCTGGGATCTAATGTCTGATGATCCGAGGTGGATGATATAAATAGAAAATAAAAGTACATAATAAATGCAATGTGCTTGAATCATCCTGAAACCATCCCCCTTGCCCCAGTCCAAGGAAAAATTTTCTTTCACGAAACTGGTACCTGGTTGGTTTCACGAAACAGTTGGGGACGGTTGCTCTAAACCTCACTTCAGTCCATTTCCTAGGAAACTCAGCCTGTGACGTTCCAGTGTTACTTGTCCCAGTCCGTTGTAAATAGTAGCAGCCATGAACAAGTAGATAGTTGCAAACTCGATAAGAGTTTACACAGCATCCGGCATGCTAGGCAGTCTGATAAGGACTTGATGTGATTATAGAGATTTGCAAAGAGTGTTTGGAGTTGGGTAATTTTACTCCCATTTTATAGATCAAGGGGGAAAGGAATCAAGTAGCTTGTCCAAGGTTTCCTAGCAAGACAAGAGGCAAGTTAGGGGTGCTTCCCAGGTGGCATTAGTGGTAAAGAACCTGTTTGCCAATGCAGGAAATATAAGGGACGAAGGTTTAACCCCTGGGTCGGGAAGACCCCCTGGAGAAGGAAATGGCAACCCACTCCAGTATTTTTGCTGGAAAATCCCAGGGACAGAGGAGCCTGACAGGCTAACACCCTTGGGACCACAAAGAGCCAGACATGACTAAGTGACTGAGCGCAAGCAGCCCATTCAATCAGCAAGCAGCAGCCAGTCCAGGAGACACAGGTTCGATCCCCGATTCAGGACGATCCCACATGCTGTGGAGCAACTAAGGCCATGTGCCACGATTATTGAGCCCCAGCTGTAGAACCCGGGAGCCACCCGTGCTGAAGCCTGTGTTTATTAGCGCCCATGCTCCACAACAAGAGGAACCACCGCAGTGCAGAGCCCGAGCACCACAGCTAGACCGTAGCCCCCACTTGTTGCAACTAGAGAAGAAAGCCTGCTCAACAATGAAGACCTGGCACAGCCAAAAAAAAATTTAAGAGTTTCTAGGGGATTTAAAAACAGTGGCAAGCTAGGGCCTGACACATAACCCATCTCCTCAAGCACTAGTCAACACATCTCTGGAATTCTTGGCTGGCCTATCTCTTCTTATTCCTGATCCCAGGGTGGGTCACTGACCTGGCCTTCCGCTTACAAGGCTCCAAGGTACCAGTGAGCCTGGAATGGACAGCGTCAGCCAATCAACAGCTGTTACCTAGTGGGTGTCATTTCAGGTCCCCTCTTTCTGCATTTCCCTGGACTGTGGATACACACAGTTCCTTTACATGCTTCTCAGTCTAGACCTCATGACCGCCATCTGTTACAGTGGGAGGCCCTGTCCCTCGATGAGCCAGCATATCCTTTCTGGAAAGATTATAGGATCTGAGACAAGGAG